TTTAAAAAGGTAAAAATTTTGGAGAAAAAAAACAAAATTTAAATTTTATTTGAAAATGTAACTGATGAGAAAATTAAGGATGCTTGCCTTTTTTTGAAATATTCCCCCCCTTAATTTTCTCTTATTAAATAATTATATTTTTTAAATAAAAATAAATAATAAAAACATACATAACAAACTAAAATGACATTTTTACTAAATATTGAAATTGTTGCTAATGAGTCCTCTTAAATGCTAAAATATTGACATTTTGAAAAATTTCCTTTTTTAAAAGCTTGGCCCATTAAGACCATTGGGCCAAAACCTGGATGCGAATATTTAAGCCAACTTTTAAGCCAGACACAAATGTACTAATGGGTTGCGGGCTGGGTCAAATTCTACTTTGGGAAATTTTTTAAAATGTCAATATTTTAGCATTTAATAGGACTCATTAGCAACAATTTCAATATTTAGTAAAAATGTGGAAATTATTATTAATAGAAGAACTATATTTATTTTGGAACTTAATTGCTGAAAAGTAGGGTTGTACAAAATTAAATCAAAAATCAAATTAAATCGCAAATCGAGTCAGATCGGAAATTTTTAGTATGGTATTGACAAAAAAAATCTGACTATATTTGGGTTGGGTTGGCTTAACTAATAAAAAACAAACTGAGATTAAACCAACCCGACATTATATACATAATTTTAAAATTTTATTTTATACATAAAAATATTTACTTTGATATAATTTTTAAATATTTTTTTTATACTTTTTCATAGTTTTTATCTCTTAATATATTATTTCAAGTTTAAAAAACTTAGAATTTTGAATGGTTTTATAAATATTATAGTCCACAGTTGTTTGGTAGTAATAATAAAAATTAAATCAAAATCAAATTAATACTAATGCTAAAAGAAAATCAATTTAATTATATTGATTATTTATTCTTTAATTTTACATTGATTTAGACAACTAAAATACATAATTAAATTTTAATTTCCTTCAATATTTAGTCATGTAGCTAATACTTATTAAACTTATTATAGCATGATTATGATCATTTTCATTATCATTTGTTAATTTGTAATATCTTTTTATGCAATTTCATCATTATTATTTTTTGAATATTTTAATGTCATTAATCACGTTCATAGGAAAAAAAAAAGCATACCTAAATGGTGATTCTTTTTGGTTTTAGGTATGAATATTATCTAAAATGACAAAAAATTATTCCTTTTTTTAAAACTAATTATTGCAGGGGTAGAACATGTTGGAGGAGATATGTTTGAAAGTGTTCCAAAAGGAGATGCTATTTTTATGAAGGTACATTGCCTTATATTAATCAAGAAACTAGTACCCCAAAAAAAAAATTATCAGAAAAAAGTATTTGAATATTTTTAAGAGATAAGTGTCAAAAAAATACTTAAACAATTCTTTTTTTTTTTAGTTTTATACCTGAACTATTGAAAGTGTGAGTTTCATAGATAAACTATTTAAAGTGATAGTTTAGGTATGAAACTCAAACTTTCACTAGTTTAGGTATGAAACTCAGAAAAAAAAGGTCGTTATTGTTTCTTTTTTAAATATTGACAATTTTTTGTTGTAATGGTGTATGTATGAAAGTGGATTCTTCATGACTGGACCGATAGTCAGTGTGTAAAGTTACTGAAGAAGTGTTATGATTCTACACCATCAAAAAATGGAAAAGTTATTGTTGTTGAGGCCATTCTACCTGTTCAACCCGATCCTAGGCATACCTCTGTTGTTATTTCGCAAACTGATTTGATCATGTTGGCTCAAACTTCTGGAGGAAAAGAGCGTTCGAAAAATGAGTTTCAATTCCTTGCAAATCAAGCTGGATTCAATGGCATTAGCTTTATATGTACTTTTGGGTCATGGAATTCTACAAGTAGATCGACCTTGTTTACTATATAAATGGAAATCGAAAGGGGAAAATTACACGCAGCAGGAGCTGCAAACGAGAGTTGTCAAGAGAATTACCAAATAAAGGAACAATATGAAATAATTTCTCAATTTATTTGTTTAATGTATTTTCTCTCTAATTTATGTTAAAAGTGATGAATAATTGGACCATTTTCAATAGTTCACGATAAGTGAATTATTCAAATATGTTTTGTGATGCGCGTGTCCTTTAATTATTCATACTCCTATTAGCCCTCATCAATTATACATTTGTGTCAAATCTTAATATTTATACTGATAACTTAATCGATATAAAACAATAATCTGTAAGTTAATATCTTAATGATTTAGCATGTATGTTTACAAACCGATAAATTAAATTAATAAACTTTAAAATCAAACTGATATGGAGCTCAACACAAACATCCCTTCAAGACGTCAAATAAATGATGGTGATGTTGAATCAGAAGAATTACAAGCTCAAGTGAGGGAATAAAGACACACCATGCAAGGTAAGAAAATGGTTCAAAACCAAATTCAAATAATAAAGCAAATAACCAAAACTTTGCAAGTGAAAAAGATAAATTCAATTCTCTTTTTTTTTTCACCCAAAAAAGATAATACCAATTATATAATACTCCAACTTTGGAGAAACGTAACAAGCGCTTAGTGCCCTACAAATCATTTTCGATGTAGTGAGTAAATATACGATTTAATACCCTAACATAAGAAGTTTTAAATTTTTGGCAAATAATTCATAGAGGTACAAAAACAATGTCACTGTAACAAAAATAACTTTAACAGCAATAAATATTAACATAAATAAAGAGTGATAAAGTCTTTATCGATATTAGCTAATAACATTAGAATCAACATCGTAAAGACTTTAGGAACATATATAAAAAAAAAAAAAGAGTGTCACTTGTCGCAAAAGATACATATTTAGCACAATTAAAAATTAATCATCTCTAATGATACTTTTCATGTACTACGTTAAAAGATACAAATATTCCCTAACTTAGGAGTTAGGACTAAGTAGACATATCGTACCATAATAAGTACCGTTGGCCGTGGTAAGACTTTAAGTAAAATCTCATGCTATGAATATGTAATTAAAATCATAAAATATGTAATAACTAACATTGAATCCATTTGCTCGTACTTATTCAATTTTTCTTTTTTATTTGTCAAATGAAGAAATAAAAAAAAATTACATATTATACTTTATCGTATCATACATGTAATGTAGAATTCAATCTCAAGTGAATCGACTAAAAAGAGCATGTTTGGATTGATTTAAAAGTTGAATAAATATATTTTTAATTATTTTTAGTTTTGAAATTTTTGGCAAAATTAAAAATAACTTAAAACAGAGGTTAAATAAATTTAAAATGTAATTGAAAACCAAAATAATGCTCTCCTTACTTTCATTTTTTGGCTTAAAAAATATTTAAATTTAACTTTAAAAAGGAAAAATTACTTTTTAAATATTAATTTTTAAATTTATCCAAATGAGCTCCAAAACGAAATCCCAATCAAGAAAATTGTTTAGTAGCCCAAATCAATTCTTTACAATAGCTATACGTTGACATGTGCATACATTAGGCCCATTTACCAAAATACTTTCAATAGGGAAAATTTCATATATAGCAAACATAATTTATTAAATAACATTGTATGGGTGTAGTTTACATAATTACATTTTATGGGTATAGTTTAGTTTGTTATGTATCTTTTAATTTGTATAAAGCATTTTTTTTATTTTTAATTTATTTAATATTTTACTTATTCATTGAATAGTAACAAATATCGCTAAATAAGGTAACAAACATTTACACAATCCCATTATTTAAGCTAACCATTCAAAATCAAATATTTTTTCAATTTTGTTTAAAAATAAATCATATGAAACACTTAGACTTTAATGATATTATTTGTATATATATACATTGATTATATTGTATATATTTGAGAAATTGTAAATAATTTTTTATACATTTTGATGTGTAATTTATTATGTATTATTAAATGTATATGAGATCATCATAAATATGAAAATTGTATATATGACAATCATGTTTATTTTTTTAAATAAAAAGTGTGTTGTATTTGTTCTTAATTATTTTCTGTAGTTTATTTATACACAATATTTTATTATGTTCATTTTTTTATAGTAAATATCTACAGATTTGATAATATACAATAATTTGGTATATGGATTATATTTGTATGTGTACATATGTAATTTCATGTTTTTATAAAAAATTAATGAACAAATGATTGTATAATATTCATTTGTCAATTGTATATATGGTAAGCTTGAAATATGTTTGTGTATTTAGTGCGTAATGTTTATATATACAATATTTTATCATTTTCATAATTTTTTGTATATATCGACGAATTTGTATAATATACTATAATTTTATATATGTATTATACAATGCTTAACAAATTTCTTTTATACAAATATTTGTATACAAATAACAATTATCTCATAATACTTTGTATATATTATCTTAATACGCAATCCACTATATACATAACTTTAGTAATTTGTATATAAATTACTCAACCTGATGTTCTTCAGATTTTTCTAGTTCTGTCCAGTTTTGATGAGATAGATCCAATCTCGTCTGAATTTATGTTTTTGACTTTTCTCTTGCTCCAACCTTCAATTGTCTTAATGCCGCTAGATTTCGCGTTGTTGATGACTTTCTGAATTGTCATTGGGTCATTTTTTTCTTGAATCTCTATTCAAGATATTGTTCAACTTGAACTTGTTTATGTTGTCATATACCCTACATTGACCCCAAAAATCTTGAAATAACTCAATTGAAAACGAAGGTGAATTATCAACAATATTGACATGCAATGACATACCTTTGGTAATCCTCATATATGGAGACGAATCCTTTATTCTCATTTTGAAGAACTTTAAACTGGTAAGAAAGAAAGAATTTTTTCTTAAAAAAGGTATGAAAAAACTAAGAAAAATAATACATATATAATTATGTTGATGAAGGAAAAAAAAAATTTAAAAAAAAACTGGATTAATGAAAGTAAGAGAACAGGAATATCGAGAAATTTTCCAAAATTCAAAATAGGAGTGGAGTGATTTTAGGAGAAAGATATGGAATGAGTGTAGGAGAGATAAAATTGATTTGATAAAATTATATATAAAAAGAGAAATTTTTTTTTATGGTTGGATATACAAAGAAGTGGTGGGTCCCATTAATTATGACAAAAAAAATGAAACTATAATTATTGAGAGTAAATAAATTAAATTATACCCTTATTTGCTAATTACTTAGGGATGTTTGCCATTCCACGTAATTTTCCCTTCAAAATATTCTTATATCATTTGACACCTTGGACCATGCACATAATATTTGAAGTGGAATTCATAGCTCAACATATATTATTATTTTTTAGAAAAATTACTTAATTAGTTAAATATTTATATTATATTTATTAATTTTCCTTGTAGTTTGAAATAATTACATATTGTTTCACTAATTAATAATATATATATGTGTGTGTGTGTGTGTTAGCAAATACACTAAAATAAGGAAAGAGGTGAACGAGAAAGGAAGAGATACAACGAGAAAAGGAGGGAGGCATGCGAGATAGTCTATGTATCACATATACATGTGAATCACGATAGATATATGTATCTGGTATTACAGATGCGCGGGGAGAAGAGAGTGCAAGCATGCATGATATACAGGAGAGAGTTGAGTGAGTGAGTAAGATACATGAATCCACTTATATATCTAGAATAAATTATTGGTTAGATAATTGTATATTATATCTATATGTATTTTTATATTCTGATAGATTATACATATACAAAAATGACTAATTATACAAAACTTGAAGTCATCCCACATAATTAATGTATAATGGTAGTCGCGAGTGATCATTATAACAAACTATAACTATAATTAGTAATTCAGTAGTATAAGTTTGCTCAACCGAATAATTTTTCATATATATGTGTGTGAAAGTTTTCTATATTCAAATTTCACCTTAGTTATTAATGCAATATCTTCAATTTTACGAACTTGACCTTTAAATGTTACGTTTGAATATGAGGTTGCCTTTTTCCTGCTACAAATTAGAGTGCAATATTTCAATTTTCGATTTAGCTATCCTTACAAAGATTTGAGGTGTGTTTGGTAGAGAAAAATACTTTTCAATAAATATTTTACAATTTTATTATATTTAATTGATTTAATGTTTGAAAAATATTTTTCAAATAGACTTTTTTCTCAAATTCTAAAAAATTACTTCCTTACATATAGTAAGAATAACATTTTCAAAACTCTATTCCAACCTTACCACTGGACCCAATATTTTGGCTCCAACCTCGAACGAGATATGATAAATACCTAACCAGGATGCAACACCCTAGTCAGGTCGAGAGAATTAGGTTCTAATCGTGATCGCAAGTCAAATCTAAGGTCTGGATCAAGCCAAAAGTCAAATTTCAGATCGAGATAAGATTTCGAATCTTGAGTCGAGAATCTAAAGTCGAAAGTTAAAATTTGAGTTAGGATCAAAATCAAAAGTTAGGTTTCATATTTAAGTTGGGAGTGTGAGTAGCCCCGAATCGAGATTTAAGGAGATTTTGATTTAAGGGTATGAGTCAAGTTAATTATCCAAATCTTGGATTGAGGTTGTGACTTAAGTCTCAAATCATGGTGCGAGCGGATCTCCTATTTTGATTTGGAGTGAAGTCCTAAATCGGGAGTCAAATACAAAAAACTGTTTGAATATAGTATGAAAATTATTTTAGACAAAACTATTAATAAAGAGCATATATGTTCAATATTACATCACATTGAAGAGCATGTTTGGTTCAATTTCAAGTAATTTAAGAGCATTTTTGCTTTTTTCGATTTAATAATGGTTCGCACTTCTCAACAAGTGATCGAATCATTTTAAACCATAAAGAAAGTAAACTATGCCTAATTTTTTTTTTGACTTAATAGATGTTTGAATCTGAATGGATTAGACATTAGGCCAACAGAATATGACAAATTATGTCTAGTCACATTTTATGTAATCAATTTTCAATTTTTATCTCATTAATACTTTCTCTTTCATCAATATTTAATATTTTCTCCCATATTCCTGGCATTTAAATATCCTTTTGATGATTCTAGAAGCAATTTTTGTAATTTGAATTCATCAAGTATCTTTTAATTGATTTTCTCTCCTTTTTATGAAAACTATATTTATATCCATCTATGTTTTCATCTATTCTTATAGGATTTCAATTGAAGAATTATTTTGTTTTCTCCATTATAATGATTATATATTTATTTATTTTTAAATAGCACAGGTAAAACATGAGCAAAAAGATATTGAGATTTGTGTGATAGTAAAATACTTATATACATAGATACTTGTATTGTAATATTAATACAAGTTGAAATGGTGATTTGTTAGTACAAGTATATCTGAATACATAAGTAATCTATTCAATTTTGAAAAAAATGATTAGACAATACAAGTATAATTAGATACATTAATATTATTTTTATTAATATTAATGAAAAATTTGACCAGAAAGAGATTGACTATTATTTTTCATTTTTCTTGTTTCTATGTTGTCCAATTAATCCATCTTTTGTTTAATAACAATGTATTCATATGTATACTATATATTGTATTCATTTTTTGAATAACAACAATGTAGTCATTTCTCAAATTGTTGTGTTCATATGTCAATTGTCATACTTTACTTTGTTGATATATTCACATTTGATACATCAAGTTGTTAACAAAATACATGTATCCTTGATATTATAATACATTAAGTTTTATAAATAGAGATACTTATTTGAATTCGAAGTATTCATGTTCTTACCGTACACGAGTAATATATTTTTTTTATTTAGTTCATTGTAATTAAAATTGTATTAGTGTATAAATAGAAAAATAAAAACATATAAAGAAATACAATTAAAAAAGATATAAATTGTAGTCATCTTTTTATACAAATAACATACTTTAATAACCCTATAAAGATAGTATTTTTGTAAGTTATTTTTATTTTATTAATTAGATTCTCTTATGGATTTGAAAAGATATGAATGAATCAAATTTGTATCATAGTCTTATTCTCATTCAAATTATTTTAAAGACATTTTAATTTTTAAAACAAATTATGTTCCGTCTTTTTTTCTCTAAGAAAAAACAAATTCAAGCCTCTTTCATTATCTCACTTTATAAGCTATCTAAATTATTTTCCTTGAACTTTTAATTTTTGTTTTAGCTACTTGTTTATCAAATATTGACAAAATTTATTTGATTAAAGTGCAAAACAAACTTTATATATATAATTTGTTAGAAATCAGATTATCATGCCTTTGTAAAATTATTTGAATGTATCATATTCATTAGATGTTTCACCTACATATTTAAGATTAGTTTATGTTAGAATATTTTTTTCTCAAAAAAGATAGTTAACTTTTTTTTGAATGATTATTTTTATTATTTTAATTTATATATGTAATTCATGTAGTTATATTACATTTTTCGCCAAACTTAAAAAAAAATATTCATAATTTAAATTTCTTAATATCTATCAAAGAATAATTTTTTTAATATTTTGTTAATAAAATATTTAATTATTGTTTTATTTAAATTAAAATAATTATTATATTTAAAAATGAACAATGTTACTCAAATCTACGCAAAAATCTTAATCATCCAAATATACGTTAAAAAATCATTCAAATATTCATTAAAAAATCTTAACCATTCAAATACATATTTAGATTGAGCCGATAAAAGAGAAATAAAGCCTAACACAGACGAAGTATGATAATTTCACTAAACAAAGAAGTCAAGGAAATAGATAAGATATTATTGCATACCCCAATTTGGCTCAATCACCAAAGCCAAATTCAAAAGTGAATCAACCAAACAACTAATTATAAAAATGAAAGTTTAATAAAACACCCATTCACTAAAAGTACATTCACATGTAGTACAAAAAGTCTCATGATCATTATGTACTATATAAACTTGATTAGGGTGTTTTTTTTTTTCCTTTCATATTTGCAATTTTATTTTAATTGCTAATAATAATATTTTTTTTCCCCATCATCTACTACATGTACAAATGTTGTTTTCACAATTTGCCAATGTGAACGCAGAAGATGCTACTCCTATTATTCTACTACGGCGGCACGTGCAAAGTCACGGACGTTAAAGTCTCGTTTGACACTTGCGGCTGAAAATAATCCATTGGTGGCCCCACTCAAAAAGGCTTGTGCAGGTGCATGAACATATCCTGCAGCGGCGACATCTGATAACTGCTCTGAAACTGAGAACCTAACAAGCTATTATCCACCGTTGTGGCGCCGGTAGTGGCATCCATGTAATTAAATGGAAGATCGAGGGTAGCTTTCTCCCAATCTGTCAGTTTCGGCTCACTCTGCACTTCTCTTTCACATGTGAATTCGGGTGAGAGCACGTGTTCCGAGCAGCTTGAATCGGAGTGCATCTTCGGAACTGAATCGGACGGCAGGTAGAAGAAATCGTTGTGCAATTGCTGCGGCTGAGGATGTGGAGGTAGCGGTGGTAGAATCTCCGGCTTCCGATCTTCTGGAGATCCAACTTTATCCATGTAGCAGGTAGTGTTCATTTTCCTGTTCTTCTCAATCGATCCCTTTTTGTTGTAAATTCTACATAGAACCCAATCGTCCAGCTGTAAACGAGACAGAAACCGTCAAAAATCAATCGGAAAAACAGAGTCTAGATCGTCAAAAAAAAATTATTAATCTGTTCTACACTCACCCTTAAGCTATTGTTATTCTTCCGAGCAGATCGATCAACATCAGCTAGACGATATTCATGCATGATCCAATTAGTTTTCTCTCCTTTAGGTGCTTTACCAGAATAAAACACCAATGCTTTCTTAATTCCCACCGCTTTCGGATTTCCAATCGGCTTATCCGCACCAGTAGCCTTCCAATATCCAGTTCCAGCAGCTCGATTAGGTCGTGAACCATTCGGATACTTCCGATCTCGAGGTGAAAAGAAGTACCACTCCTTTTCTCCATACAATGCCAAATCTAAAACACAAAACACAAACAAAAAAATTTAG